GTTTGAGATACAGGTGATCACGGACGCACGGACGCACACAGGGCAAAACATAAGTCCCCGTTTTCGGACTACGTCCGAACGGGGACTAATAAAATCAACATGGTGGTGGTAGAGATAGCAGCAACTAACTGCATTGATCTAATTTGCATATTTTTGGAAGAGCATGGTCATTACTGTCAGAAGCACATCTACTCGTGTCAAGGTGTAATCCTACCAAATATGCATGTATGTAAGGGGGTCTAAAATCTAACTCTGCGACGCGATTGTGCGACTCGCCGAATGTTGATTATTGCACTCTGCGACAGGATCGCCGTGTCACTCTGCGAAGAGCATGATTCCTATTGGTTGGTTGGTCGAACAGCGCGAATCCCAATGGTCGATGTCCACCGCAGGCCTTATAAAAAATTAAGTTTTAAATGGTAAAAAAGGTACAGTAAAAAAAGTGTATAAACAATATTTACCGTTCGGTGATCGGCAAGCACATGGAAGACAAATTGTGGGACCAAGCAAATGTCACATGGTTTACGGTTTTTAGACACATCACACCACTGGCTAGAAAAATTAAATAGTGTAATGTGCACGTTGGTTTTGACACAGTCCCTCAACACTGGGGACTGTGGTTTTGACTGCCTATTTAATACGGTGTTACGTTATCGCCATCTTGGAGTTGTAAGGCTTCGTCCCGACGACTATGCTCATTAGCATAGGCGGCACCTTCAAAGCGAGTGGAACGCGAAGTACTTTTCACGCGTTCTGCAACGAATGTTGTACGTCTTCTTTGACTTTGTTGAGTGCATCAAGGAAAATAATTTGCATGCAGTGAAAAAAAAAATCATTCACGACGTGCAACGTTTGCCATGACAGCTATACTACCGGTTATACTCTGTTGTTGACGATTCTGATAGAACGGGTGACAAGCTTCCTGTCGCAAACAATGCATATTTATCTAACGTCCATTGTCAGCATTGTTACAGTCAAGACTTCGTCTGAGAAATCCTTTCATTTTCTAAGTTTATATTCTATTTTAATAACACCAACTTACTATAACGCATGTTCTGAGGCTCTGAGTTCTGAAAAGTATACACTACCGATTGAATAAATTTGGTAAAACTTGTAAATCTGAAATCAGGAATTCATGAATCTGAATCTGAATTTAACAGAATCAATTATTCTGAGCATGCTCAGTTGCTCTGTCAGTGTAGTGGAGAGAGGTAATTTTGGATGAAAATCTTGAAAAAGTCCCACTTAGGATTTTCAGATTTGGAAAAAATGTAACACATACTTGTTAATCAATCTGCCAAGTTTCATTGACATCTGCTGCAGAGTCCCTGAGAAAATGTGATAGATAACTTGCAGCAACTTCAAAATGAGACAGAAAGTAAATCTAATACTCCCCTTTCAGGCTTCGCCTGAACAGGGACTGAAAAGTAAAAAGTTGATATGGACGACGATGGACAATCACTTATATGATAAGCTCCGCTTGACAAAGTTTTTAAAAACCAAAAATGCAGTTTAACAGCCTCGGGCCAATTTACGGCAGGATCCGGCACTATTAGTCAATAATTTATAATAAAAGAATTAATTTTTAAAAAAAAATTAAAAAAAAGTATGCATAAATAAAGCTACAATGACATAATACTGAAAATAAACTTGCTTTGTTTTGGAACAAACTTTTAAACAAAGTAAAGAAAACAAAAGGAATAATAAATGGAGCAAACTGAGGATGATACCAACCTGCCAAAGATTTCTGTGATTTAGAAAAACCATAACTGGAAAACATCCACATTCCCGACTGTAACCACTCCTCCATGTCTTTTTTCACAGTCTCCCTGCAGATTATAATTGTACTGTTAATATAAGTACATGTAGTCTATTAGAAATGTACTGTTAATATGAGTACATGTAAGGTAATGTATGTAGTCTATAAAAACTGTACTGTTATTATGAGTACACAGCTACAACACAAAGAACTGTACTTACAGAATTTGCTGTCTATCAACTGATGGTGCATGCTGGGAGGTAGATGATGATTGGTCAAGAGGTGAGTAGCGGTTCTGCATTGACGGAACAAAGCCAACTTTCCTTCTTCCACCGCCATCGTCATGACGCTGATCTGACCACTGTTGGTTAGACGAACCACGGTAACCCCGGCCACTACCTTGGGACCATTGCTGCTGGCCATAACCTGCAAATAGAATAATAATAATCTTTATTGAAACCATATCTCAGAGTGGGATCTTAGTTGAAAATACAATAAAGTAACACAAAACAATAGCAAACAAAAAAACACAAAACAATCACAGACATTTGAATAGAGAAAAGAAGAAAAAAAAAATTAAATTATTTGGTGGTTGGTTGAGGCATCTAGCATTTTTTCTTGTTGTAATTTGAAACAAGTGTGGATGAATTTTCTTGGCTCAATGATTGTTATGTCATCATCTGTCCTCAAGTTGCTTTTATTGTATTTAATATTCTTGATCATGATTAAGATGATTTCTTGTTCCTCCTTGTATAGATTACAATTGAGAAGAAAATGTTTTTGTTCTCAATTTCCTGTTTGTAACAAACTGGGCAAATTTGGTCCTCCGCTAAAAGGTTATGTATACATGTATATCTGCCTCTTTTGATTTGGAGGGTATGAGCACTTATTCTGAGTTTTGTCATAGCTGCTCTATGATTTGGAGGGTATGAGCACTTATTCTGAGTTTTGTCATAGCAGCTCTATGATTTGGAGGGTATGAGCACTTATTCTGAGTTTTGTCATAGCAGCTCTATGATTTGGAGGGTATGAGCACTTATTCTGAGTTTTGTCATAGCAGCTCTATGATTTGGAGGGTATGAGCACTTATTCTGAGTTTTGTCATAGCAGCTCTATGATTTGGAGGGTATGAGCACTTATTCTGAGTTTTGTCATACATTTTTTGTAGCAGCTCTATGATTTGGAGGGTCTGGTACTCAGTTGTCTTTTCTTTTTTTATCAAGATGTATTCCAAGATTGCAAGCTTCATGTACTAGCGAATTTGGGTTAGAATTATTTATTTTGATCCAATATTTGATCATATATTTTAAGCTTGTTGCTAGGAGTGGATATCTTCCAAACTCTAGTAGGCTTGCCAAAATACTTGCTTTGCTATTTACTTTTAGAAGGTATTTGCAGAAATGTATTTGTACTTTTTTCATTGGTGTAGACAGATTTGCCATAAGATGCGATTTGTTGATGTTCTCGCTCGTCCAAATTTCACTGCAGTAAAGCATAATTGGTTTTACAATTGTATCGAACATTTTTAAGTATGTTTTGATTGGAATTAGTTTTTCTGAGAATAGCATTTGTTTCATTTTGAAACATGCCTTCATTGTTCTAGCCCTGAGGTCTTCTTGTGCTCTGGTGAATTTACCTGATTTGTGTAGTTTTTTGTATTTTCAAGTTCCTTCCAATCAACATAGAATTTCAATTTGTCCTGTCCTGTATATGATTGGGATAACACTACAAGGTCGTTTGCATATAGCAGACTTGTGTTTAAGAGACTTGGTGGGTCATTACGAGCCAAGTCTAATGATGTTTTAATGTCATTTACATAGATATTGAAAAGAAGTGGGCTGAGTCCATCCCCTTGTCCTAATTCCTCTATTAATTGTGAAGCTGTCTGTTACACCCTGTTTAAGTTTAACACATCCTGTTGAGTTCAGATAAATGGATTTTATGATGTTGTAGAATTTACCTGTAATACCACTTTGGATAAGTTGCCAGATGGAATCAAAGGCTTTCTGGAAGTCCTTTTGTTGCTTAGGTATTTTGAGGACAAATAAATGGTCTTTGATTCTACAGTTTGGCATGAAATTTAATGCAATATAATATGATTTAATGAGAGATTGATTACAGCGCCAAATGGCAACAAAAAATGTTTGCTTTCAGTGACAGGATCATAAGCGATTGTGCTTCTGCAAAAACAAAGGCAAAGTGTGTGAACGTAACATAAACATAACGCACATTCAAGTAAGACATTCAAATGCATCTGTATAACGCTTTCGAAAATGTTCACAAATGCTTCAAATCTATTGTTTTCGATGTTCGATGTATAATGAGGCACATTTCAGATGGCGGAAATTGGTGATATTTTTTACTTACGGTGTAACTTTTGGCAACAGTGACAAATGTATAATATTGTATTTTGATACTAAATAATTACTTATAGTCACTATGACAACACATATTATACAAATATTTAAGAATACAATAATCAGAAATTATTCATGGCTAATACAAAAGATAATGTGTGATATTGCTAGTAGCAATGTTGGAGCATGTATGTGCAATTGAATTGGCTTGAAAATGAGGAAAGTGAGAAAGAGGATGAGTGTGAAAAGAAGAGACCTGTTTGAGCTGCAAAGAGCAGTGTGTGTACTTCAGGGCAAATATGAGCATCAAATGAATTGCTTTGCTAAATTACTGACTCAAAATATATCTAAAACTAGTTGCCAATATCAATTATTTATAGATTTTTTTAAACGTACCGGTACAATGTAGTATAACATTTTGTATTTATTTTCGGGTTTATGTCAAATTTGCGAAATCTTGTACGTATGTATTTGGAATGGCGTTGCCCCAGACTGTTTCCATTGAGTGTTCTAAAGGAAACAAGATATATCGGAATACTAGTATTAGATTTGTTGTAAATGAAAACGATTACGTAAGAAAAATTACTACAAAGTTTTACGTATTTTAGTCCCTATATTTAATCATGGCTAGTACGTCCATGATTTAATGTAGCCAGACCAGTCCCCCACGTGGTGGAATGACCTTACCAACGACAAAAAAGTGTTACTCACCTTGACTTGCGTTCGCTGGGTGTTCATTCCAGCATCTGTCACCATAGCGACAATGCCCCTGAGCATAAAACCTACAAATAGCCATATTCATGTAACTCAGTCCACATTCGTCGCGCAGCTTTGTAACATTTCCGGTTACTGTATAAATAAAACAAAAGCAATTAATATACAAACGATTGATGGCGTTGTCCTACCTGAGGGTGGGTGGACTGTTCGCTGA